AACAGTTGTTTTGTCCATTGTTTGTAAGTCCAAAGCAGGCATGTGACAGACCTTCATTTTGTGACTTGTAGACTGAAAAACCTTAGAGGCCATTGACAATACAATGATTAATTTTCATGTCCCAGGAGAAGGAGTGTGTTGGATACAACCTCTGCAAAAAACAGCTTCTTAGAATTTGTGCAAAGCATCAAACCATGATGCTCAATCAAATGTTGACCAACACTTGTTGTTTACTTTAACATGTAGGTTATAGTCTTGATTTGTTTTTCTTCTGGACTCTTGGGACCTGTTAACCTGTTAGTCAGGTTGCTCCCTAGTCCTCAGTTTTCAAAGTTGACTCTTTCGCACCCAAAGTATTGTCTTTTTCGGCTGAGGAGCTCAAGTGCTCACTGCTAAACTATATAAGTCACAAGAACAGGACTCCGACCAGGGGCTGCACAGGTGATAATGTCTCACCTTTGTGCGTTTACACTTTGGTGCAACACGTGCTTAAAAACCAGACATTTTTTCCAGGACACTTTGTTCAAAGTACGACCTTGTTGCACAAACATGCTTCAGACGTGATGTGGTAACGGCCGATGCAGCAGAGACTCTGCCAAAGGTTGGGAGAAATGCTTGGAGGAGAAACTAGCAATGCGTTCACATTGCTGTGTTGTGTGCCTTTGTCAGACAGTGACTGTGGAGATGACGGCAAACGCGGAGAGAGTGAGATGGCCACCAAGGTGGAGTCTGAGTCTCATGGAGCTGTGGGTTATTTCTGGCCTGCTGAATTCTGTGAACCTGCAGAAACCCTGTGATATGACACATTGTAATCTGTAGCATTATCAACACTGTGTCATCAGACAGCTGTCATACACGCCAGCAGGTTTTCAGTTTGGCAAATCACTGGGAGGCAGGAACGCCGTGAACTGGAAGTCTGTGTTGGCAGACTATCTCCAGCAGTGATTTGGCCGGCTGAGTTTTCATGCCTTATGAATGTGGGTGTGATCAACACTTTCCCCTTTGAAACATCTGGATCCAACAAAAAAACTTGATCTGCTGGTTTCCAGGCGTGTGACATGTGTGACCATGTTGATGATTAAACATGCATTATACACTAATGTAGATATTACATAAAATTATTGTTAAAAATAATTTAATATATTTGAATATATCATTGTAAACGCTTCTGCTGTACTTTTAAAATAATATTGAAATGACATAAAATGTGTAGGAAGTTAATCTAAGGTGTTGCACGGCTGTCATACACTCTGTATACTAGTGTAAAGGCTCCAATGCAAACCACTGACAACGTGAAACCTGCAGAGGATTAGCAGCTGACTCTGCAGCTGCTCTGTCTTACAGAGCTTTACAGCTGGTTGTTGAGTTGTCCAGGCCACATCTCTGCTGCTTTGTTCCTCTCACTGCTCTCACAGTGCCATTTTCAGCTGGAGCAGGCAGTTATTCTCAGAAAAGTCCTCTAAAAAGCCATTGTGTACTTCCAGCTCAGGAAAAAGAACACTAGCTGGTGCATAGTGGAACTAAAGAGCCAGATATGTCCCCTCAGGTGTTGGTGGAGACCCAAAACAGAGTGACCACCGGACTTGCACTCATCGGGTGGACACAAACACCATAACACATAAATGACGATGCCAGAAAAGCAGGACCACCCTGACATCGGTGGGTTTTGTTGCTCTAAAATAACGTCTCACCTTCCTGCGGATGTACAGGGGTCATCTCAGGCTGCTCGAGGGCCTTGTCACTCGAATTTAGTTACAGTAGTTTATGGGCATTTTCTGCAGTTTAACTTGGGAGGACAGCCTCCGTTCATCACAGTAAAATAAAGATTATATGTTCTTTCTGTTTGTGCTGTCACTTTGGGAATTCGTTACGTTAGTGGGGTCCTGACAAGTGGACAGGGACAAACAAGCGTGTACGTGACCGAGTGTCGGAGCAGAATGGAAACCAGGCCCTGCCGGCTCATCACAAGCTACTGTAATCAACATGTGTGTGTGTGTGAGACCAAGCGGATGACAGCTTTTGATAAGAACAGAAAACAGAGCTAGATTTTCCCTTGATGTGGACAAACATGCACACACACCCTTCAGAAATCAGATTTGGGAGCTGCAAAGAATAAATGCATGAAGGGTTGAAAAACGAGGCCTGTCTAATCATCCAATTAGGATCCGAGGCAGATGGTCGGGACACACACGCAGACCTGTTGCACACTCGCACTCTGCCAGCCATCGAACACTCGTCTCTCGTGTGTTTCCGTAGTCGGTCCCTCTCCCCTCAGTGTAACTCTCTGCTCAATCGCCCTGTTTCTGAGTGTCAGTGACACGCTGTTGTCATACCTGGGCATCCTATAATTATCTGTCTACGCACACAGATGTGAGTGACCGGCTCTCTGTCGCTCCGCGTATATTAGCTGCAGTGTGCCAGGCTGCTAGAGTCATGTGAGCAACCAGGATATGGCCTTACTTGCCTCTCGTACCTGTGGAAGGAAAGTGACTCACCTTGAACCTGTGCAGTCGGTGTTTTCTCACCTTTGGCAGGTTTATTGTATAAGAAGTTAGAATTCATTGTTTGCTGTAAAGAGACTTGTTTCCTGGGCTCAGTGGGGCTTTAGTCTCCACTTTATGCTTACCTGGAAGGCTTTGAATTTTTCTGTGACCACTTCATCTGAAAAATAAAGACTGTTTGTACACGTTGAACAGCTTGGCCCGTGACAAGAGGCCTGATGTTCACACACCTGTAGTACATTAATATCTGAGTTGTGAGTCTTTGCTGGGCTTTTAAGCTCTAAAACCTGTCGAGAAGCTGTTCACTCCGATGTCCTTGTTCGTGTTTGAGGTGCTGAGCAGTGCAGGTGTGATTGTGCTTCATCAGGTCAGAGTCAGTCATAAAGGGTTTTTCAGGCTGATTGCTGCCTTTTCAAACGGTCCGGTCGACTGAGTGATGAGTGAGATGAAGCCGAGGGCTGTCCTGAGCGGCCAGCCACCATCTCCAACAACGCCATCATTCCAGCGAAAAAGCCATTCAATCATGCTCGGGGACACTCGAGGTGCTTGAATCAAACTTTCCTCATCTTATCACTCAAGGATTCAAAATACATTCGATGAGTGTTTTAGTGTTTCAGCCGCCACCAGTTTGCTCTGGTGGGATGCAGCATTTAAAGAAAAGAACCAGGGTGATTTATCTTTTGATCCTCATGAAAGATTCTCCTAAAAGGCCTGAACCCACAGTGTGTTTGTTGCTAACTGTCTACACGGCGTTCCTCTGGGACTCACAACTCCATTATCATCCAGAAATGTAGGAATATGTAGCCATACTGTTATATTAAACACGTCATGGTGACAAACGTGGCAGGTAGATGTCTGCCAGACACTCTCTGGTGTCGAGTCACTTCATTAGATGGAAGAAATAAATGACATAATACAGAGTTTATGCTTTTAACATTGTATTTCTGTGCTATACCTTCAGATTTTCACTTTGCTAGAAAAGTAAGGTATTTAAAGATACTAAAATTGCTGGAAAATATTTTTATGCCTGGTTGAAATGGAAACACTGGCACCCTGAAAAAGAAAAGGTGATAAAAGCTGATAAAAGCCACATGGTGATGTAAGTGGGTGGGGGTCACAGTGCTCACCTGTTCATAGATCCCTGGGTGGGCTTGTAGATCGAGAGACCTCTGCTCAGATATGGTGATGCCAGTGCGGTAAATGTTGGTATTTTACAGCATAAAGCTGCTGAGGAATAAAAGCAGAACATGAGGGAAAAGATCCAGAGTCTGAAGTTTCACCAGTGCTTCACTCTGAATGCTCCCCCAAACATTTGCACCAATTTATCTCACACATGCCTAAAGATAATACTTAATACTAGGTGACATCCATAGTTGTTTGTGCCGATGCTTCACGTCCGTGTGCATCAGCAACACGTATCCGGCTCTAGTGTGAACACCGCTGTAATGCTGTGAGTTGTAATAAGTTGCCTACACCTTCTGTGTGCTGTAGTGGAGGATGGTCTCTGTGTTGTCAACATACTTATCTGCATTTAAAATCCAGAGGTCTTCTTAGATGACGGGTGATGTATTGGTCTGTGTCTGCAGCTGGTAAACTGGGCCAGTCAGCAGCAGGATCAGGATGAGAAGATGGCTGACTGTGTGTTTCCAATGGGACCAGAGAGTTTTCAGCGCTTCACGCCGGACTCCCTGGCGGCCATCGAGCAGCGCATCGCCCAGGAGGAGGCCCGGCACGGCAAACAGTACCAGGAGGTACGCACACACAGTTGACAAAGAGAAATAGTTGTGAGTGTTGCAGCAGCTAAAAACAGGAATCAGAAGATGATGAGGGCAGGTGTGCGACATTCCAGAGGTGGTGATGATGTTTGTGTGTGCACCAGGACCTGGGTGACGTGGAGTTCCCCCAGCCTCGGCCCGACTTGGAGGCTGGAAAACAGCTGCCGCGCATCTTTGCTGACATCCCGTCTCATCTGGTGGGCGTCCCCCTGGAAGACATTGACCCGTACTACAGAGATAAGAGGGTAGGTCCCCTACACAGTGGCTGTGTGTGTGTGTCTGTGTGTGTTTGGAAAAAAAATCCTCTTTCCTGCCGGAGAATCCCTGGAAGATAAATCGACTCTCTGGTCGCCTGTTTCACTGAAGACTAGAGTGGAGGTGACCCACTGCATGTATGTGTGTCCTCTCCATTTCTTTTTCTCTTTTACAGTTTTCTTTCTTAAACTCTCAGGTTTTTTACACCTGCCACTAACTACCTTCCTGGTCCAGTGTTTAATAACTGTATTTCTCTCTCTGTGTCTCGCAGACCTTCATAGTCCTGAACAAAGGGAAGGCCATCTTCCGTTTCAGTGCCACCTCAGCTCTCTACATCTTCAGCCCTTTCCATCCCATCCGCAGAATCGCCATCAAGATCCTGGTCCACTCATATCCTTACACACACACACACACACACACACACACACTCTGTGTACTGTATGCATCTTTACTGTCTGATCTGCTGCTGACTGCTGCAGGGGGTCAGAGGTACTACCTAGCTGCTTCTCTGACGTAGTTTCACTGCAAACCGTGTTAAACTGCCTAGTCTTAGGAGCAAAGGTTAGTCCGGGGTTCTAGCTGTTTAATTGTACAGCTGGAGTAATTTAGTTTTGATGCTCTTTTTGGCTTGTTTACGGGGTAATCGATGGGTTATTAATATGAAAGTCCATTAAAAGAACCCAGGTTAGTTTTACTGGCTTTCATTATGACACAGGCTCCTGCTTAATGTTTTTTTTAAACATATAATTGGAAACACGTCTGCTGTACTTTTAAATAAGAGGTTTTGTTAAGATGGCTCCTAATGGCAAGTTTGTGTCTGGCTTAATTTTGAATTATATGAGAAAGTTTCCGAGTGAGGAGAGGTTATAGTATAAAAATAACCACACATAATGCAAAGTGAACGTATCTCCCTGCTCCTTTAATAACCCTCATTAACAGTGACGCTGAGCTGGCTGGCATTTCACTGATTACAGTATTATTCATCACACATTTTATTAGCGCTTTGCGATTGTATAATCACCTTGTGGTAGATCTTTTTCTCGCAGCTGCACAGGCTCCACACACATAATGAATGAGTGCATTCACCAATCACGTGCGCGTCTGTGTGTGTGAGAATCCGAGGGCTCATCCTGTCGGCCATATTTCTGAGCCAGATATCATCTCGAGCTGTCGGCGAGCCATAAACTTTCTCCGTAAATATCACCCAGCTTTCATCCAGGTTCCGGCTGCACACACATGCGTTTTCACTCCTCGTGGGGACTTTACATCAACCTGCATTTATTTTCTGGAGACTCCACCCATCACCAAACCTGGTCTGAGTCCTGAATCTAAGGCTGTGGGACATCATTCCCAGTGTCACACCGGCTCCAGCCGGCGTCTGCCTTGGGCTCCAGACGCCCTGCCAACATGACAGAACTTACTTCACACCCAAAACTCAACAGCCCCTCCTCGACACCCCCGTCCTCGCCTCTCCTCACCTCACACTCATCTATTTTTACTGCGGGAGGCGGCTGCTGGTGTTGAGATGTCGAGCTGGCAAACACGCCTATGTATCCGTGGGATAAGTGGGTTAAGAGGTCGGCAGCGAAGGTGTGGCACAGGCGATGGGCTGGGGGGTGTATGTTTTAATGAGAGATAAGAAATTGAACGTGTTAGTGTGTTGGGCGGGGAGTCTGTAAGAGTACAGGTTGTGGTGATGAAGTGGAGATTTTGTGTGTGTGTGAGTGAAATCCATTGTGTTCTGGATTTTTGCCCAATCAGACTGGTGCCACAATGACAAGCTGTGGTGTGAGGTGGACACACACACACACACACACAGTTATGATATTAGAATACAAAGTGTCTGTCTCAGCTGATCAGACTGAAGTTTGCAGTGTTTGACAAAACACAGGTTTACTACACAACCCACAGGGCCTTGTGCCCCCCCGAAAGCCTGCTTTGATTTGTTTCTAAAATATTTATCATTTATTCACTTTTCATTGTTGTACTGTGGCTCTAAGGTTAAAGAAGTGTTGGTCTTAGTGTTGTGGCGTTAGACTGGCATTGTGTTTGTGTCGCACTGGCGCTGTGTTGGCAGTGGGTCTACAGTAGGTGTGGTAGGAGGAGACTGGGACCCACCATACTCAGATTGTGATATTACTGTCTACTTAAATGAAGGAAATATTTAATCAACAACAAACAAATTTTGAGCTTGTGTTTCCAGCCAGTAGGTATTTCCTCCCTGCACCTCTTTCAAAATAAAAGCAGTCTGTGGAGCAGCTTGCCTGACAGTGGTGCTACACTGAGGGAAGTGAGAGAGTTAGATTTGGGATGAAACAACAGTAAAGCTCACCAAGCAAGGTAAGAAGAGCAGGAGAAAGGAATGAAGGCAAAAGCAGGCTCCCGCCATGGATGTGGGAGGTATAACACTACCACCGGTACGGTGGCCTGGGAGGTCCATAACAGCAGGGCTATCATTACGACATAATTAGCTCCTGGCTCTGTGGTGGTGGCAACAGGGGGACATTTGCGTTGCATCTTAAACGATAACCATATTATCTTGCCGCCTGCCACCGCGCTCCAGCAACATCATTACAGCCAGCGTTCAATCAACAATTACCCCACTGCTCAAACAACTTTCAGCTGGAGCTTGGGCCTCTTTCACACAGGGAGTATGTTCCTTGTGCCAAATTACAATAATTATGTTTCATTTATAGCTTTGATTGACAGCTGAGCGAGGTCTCACAAAGTCTCTCCCACCTCGTCGTGTGTGGCGCACTGAACACGGCAGGTGAGAGTGGTAAATAGCAGGTACTGCTGCCTTCTGACAGTTGGGAAAGTTACTGCTACCCATTATATGATGATTAGGCAAGAGTGGGCCCTTTCTCCCAGCGCTGCTGTTAATGGCATATTAATTTGCTGTATTGAATGTGGCAGTGCTGAAGCACACGTGCTAACGCTTCACAGCCTTTCAGTTCACTTTGTCTTTATTGAGCCCTAATGGGAAATCAGTGAAAGGCATTTAAAAGAAAAGCACATGTAAAATCACTTTGGCATGTGGGCAGCACGCGCACACACAGTGGAAGAAAGACTTTTTTACATTTACATTTCAGGTGTTTAGCTGACACTCTCCAGAGAGACTCACAATGACAGAACAAGTCATGAAAGCTTCACTTTCTCCATGGCCAGCATTACACTGAGTACATTTCCATTTTATGTTTGAGTTGCTGCTCTTATCCACAGTGACTCAGAGCCATAAATAACAGAAAAGTGCACTAAATTGACTCTAATTCTCTCTCCGACATTTAATTTTCCTCTGCCAAACTCCACCCACCTAACAAACTATAAAAATGACAAAAAAATACATGTTGCCTCAGATTCTTACGGCATGCTGCCTAAACAAATGTTTAAGGTGCAGAGTTTCAACCTTGCCCCAAGCTCAACTGGACTGTGTCTTTGTTCTTTACTTATTATACTGTTTTCACATTTTCCCCAGTTAAATGCAAGGCTGCAATAAAAAGGGACAAATCAAGAAATATACAGTCAGGGAAAAAATTATTTGAACCCCAGCTGATTTTGTAAGTTTGCCCACTAACAAAGAAATGGTCAGTCTACAATGTCAATGGTAGGTTTATGTGAACAGTGAGAGACACAACAATAACAAAAAAAATCCAGAAAAATGCATTACAAAAAAAGTTATACATTAATTTGCATTTTCATGAATGAAATAAGTATTTGATCCCCTATCAGTCAGCAAGATCTCTGGCTCCCAGGTGTATTTCCCAGAGGCTCCTCCGCTGGAGGGCTGGGAAGATCGTATGTGTGACCGTCTAGCGGGGGTAAGACACGAAAAGTAGTCCAGTATAGTAGAGTGTATTCTGTGTGTAGTATATACACTTTTATTTGAGGGAGATGTAGTCTGTGCATTTCAAAATAAAGGAGTCTGATTTGCCTTTCTTACAAGCAGAATTGTGCTTACTAACATGGCTAATGTGTAAGTAACCGTTTACTTCCAGAGCCGCACAAAGGGATCCAGACTCAACATCATAATTGTGGCAGAAGGAGCCATTGACACAAATGGCAAGCTCATCTCCTCAACTTATATAAAAGATGTAAGTTTAAAGATTTATACGATGGGGATGAAAGATGACTCTGTACTGTTTGTAACATTTGCTCACCGACCAAGAGGTGGTTTGATGTCAAATTATAACTCCAGTGTTTAGCAGGCATAAAGTTGAACAGGCAGAAATGAGTTTGGTGCTCAAATGTTTGGAGTAAATGAAGGATACACACTCTACTCCATATCCTTGTTTGGAGGAGGAGGAATGCTGCCAGTGACTCCAAAAACAACATCCCCACCATCAAATATGGAGGTGGAAACATTATGCTTTGGAGGTGTTTTTCTGCCAAGGGGACAGGACAATTGCACTGCATCAAAGGGAGGATGGATAGGGCCATGTACCGTCAAATCTTGGGTGAGAACCTCCTTCCCTCATTCAGGGTATTGAAAATGGGTTGTGGTTGGGTATTCCAGCATGACAATGATCCAAAACACACGGCCAAAGCAACAAAGGATTGGCTCAAGAAGAAGCATATTAAGGTCATGGAGTGGCCTAGTCAGTCTCCAGACCTTAATCCCATAGAAAATCTGTGGAGGGAGCTGAAGGTTCGAGTTGCCAAACATCAGCCACGAAACATTAATGACTTGGAGAGGATCTGCAAAGAGGAGTGGGTCAAAATCCCCCCTGAGATGTGTGCAAACCTTGTGGCCAACTACAAGAAACGTCTGACCTCTGTGATTGCCAACAAAGGTTTTGCCACCAAGTACTAAAGCACGTTTTGCAAAGGGATCAAATACTTATTTCATTCATGAAAATGCAAATTACTAGACTGATCATTTCTTTGTTACTGGGCAAACTTACAAAATTAGCTGGGGTTCAAATAATTTTTTTCCCTGACTGTATGTTCACATCTCCAGTGCAGTTATTGTGAGAAGGTTGTGTGGACACAGTGTGGGGCTCAGCACTCTGACACCGGAGATGGTGTCACGTTATCTGTTCAGGTTTTAGGTGAAGCATTAAGGAGCAACGGTGGCTCCCATCAAATGCACCCTCTCTCGTACTACAAATTATTATTGATTGTTTTAATATTTTAGACTATAATCTGCCCTTAATCTCAACCACATGTTCACTTCATACACAAAAAAACAGATGTTTGTTTTTCTAAAAACATTAGGCACAACATGTCTATATAAATGTCATTTTTAGGGGAAAAGGTTGCCAGTCCTGACAATAGCCCAAATTGTTCCTGATACCCAGATTATCTTAGTCAAAGTACTAAATTGTGCACATACCTCATTTTATTCAGGGTACAAACATTTTATATTTAATAACATTTTAAAACTTATTTAATTAAACAATAAAATATTTTGACAGTTTTTTGTTTTTAAATTGCTTAATGGTTCTCCAGTTTAACCCCTTCAAACTGATGGTGTTAACAGCTTCATTCTGCATGTCCTCTGCCTGGATTTAGACCCACAAGGCAGTGAAATGCTGCTGGGATGTAGATTTCCTAAAGTCATTGACTTAATGTCCGCAGATGAAGTCGCCACAAGGAACATGTGATGTTAATGAGGTAAATCCATCACCTTTAAATGATCTGCAGTGACAATGGAGACAGTAGTAATAATTTGAGGGAATAGATGGGACTGATTTAGTAATTCACAAGCACAAATTATCCACTCATTTGAGAGTATTACTAGTAAACCTGAGAAAATGAAATAGGATTATTAAACACACACATTACTAAAAATCTTTCTAGTGTCACGTCCCAGGCTCTTTAACCTCACTCGACATCTCCTAGAAAAATATACATTTACTTTGAATATTTTTGATTCAGGGGTTAAATGTAAACATTACAGGTTTTACAATACAACTCAAAACAAACTTCCATAAACTCGGTTGGAAATGCTAGTTTCTGTCACGAACTCTGTGTTTTCAGATTTTTTTTTATTTAGGAATCTTAATTAAAACAAGTATGAGTCAGTTTGGGGGATCCATACCTTTCCAAGACATTCATATTGCAGACTGAGAGTAACAATTGTAAAAAGGTGTTTTGGTAAAGTGAATTTCTGAGGGAACATGGGCACAGTGAAATGGCTACATAGTGTTTTTACAGGTACATTAACTAAGCTTCCCTCCACATCATTTGATGACACCAGTTGGTAGCATTAGCCACCTAGCATGGTCAGGATTTTACTTTTGTGTTGAATTAATATGATTTTAATTTGGGAGGAACTGGAGCTTTGTGTCCCATCAGCAGTAACCAGAGCGTTCTACTGGACTGACACGTTTACTGTTAGCCTGCTAACACTAGCTTCAGACTGGAGGCTGTAGTTTGTACAGTTTGTCCCAAACAGGCACCTGTAGTTTATGTTGTCACTAGGAAACAGGATGTGATGGGAGGGGCAGAGAGCGGTTAGGAGGGGCTGATGGTGTCAGTTTGGTTTGAGTCTCACTGGGTTGGGAAGACATTAGGGCGAAGAGCTTTAAACGGTCCTCCTTCCTTTGGCCTCCCACACACAGTCACAATGCCAGCATGAAAGGGACACATCAGTCACCTCTTCACAAGCACACCTAAGATGGAGAAGATGTTAAGTGAATGTGTGCTCTCACATACAAAATCCTGTCATGGTGTGTCCATGTATGTATGTAGAGACACTGAGCACACACTCTGCCCCTGACACATCACCCCAGTGCCTGGG